AATTGCTGACATCTTAGGCAACAAAGAAGTGTGTGTTTACGCTTTATTATAATAGTATAGATTTGTACATACAATGTCAGATAAAGTCGCCGGAAACTAATAATCAGCTGTTATTATATTTATTTGTATTTAATTGGCTTTTCGAGTACGACACAAAGTAAACAAACATGTATCAGACTTTCTTCTAACACTACATAAAACGATATTGGTATAAAATTTACTATGTAAAGTGTAGTCAATAATCTTAAGAAAATGTGTTTATTTCGTACGGATTATTTTAAAATATCATGCTAATATCATAAATGCCAAAGTTTAGATGGATGTTTGTTAGAGTTTGTAGCCTAAATGGCTTAACGAATTTCGATTAAATTTGGCACAGATGAAGAGGATAATCTGAACGAACACATAGGTTACTTTCGTTTTTTTAAATTCCACGCGGACGGAGTCGCGGGCGAAAGCTAGTATTTTATAAGTTTTATAACCTTCATAAAGTAAAGTAAAAACGAACAAAATTTCGAAGATAGCATATTAAATTTTCCCTTATATGAATTCTTTTCAGCCCACACTTTTGTTTGATAATGATCTTTCCTTTCGATAGATTACAATTAGAACGAATAAAGCGGTCTATATTTAATTTGTCTTGTGTAAACAATCAACTCTGTCTGCCCCATTTCGATTAACCACTCAGTAGATAAATCAAGTTTTTTTTTTAAATTTCCTACAGAAAAGTCATTTTTATAAACTTAAATACGTTTCCCGCGAAATTGTAAATTGTCTGATAACAATCCAACATGCAATTTACGTGATGGAAATATCGGATTTTATTACCTTACCTCACAGTGCCATCATTCTTAGGCTATCTGAGCGTCTATCAGCCAGTGGTGGGACAGCCCTAAATGTTCAATAAATCAAACTTTTTATAATGTGAGTCTAATTGAATGTTTACTGAAAATTAAGTTATTTATGTATAATTTTACATTTATTATTCACTACCAACTTCATTACGACTTGATTCATAGTGTTCCGCGCTAGAACAATACATCTGTCGCTGGAAGGCTTTTGTTTAGTAATAATAGCTGTTAGCTTTCAATTATACGTGAATTATACTGGAAACGCTTTAGGTTGGCTATATTTAGATTTATTAAGTAAATAACTTAAAAGGATCCTTGCGATGTTTATTAATATAGTAAACTTTGAGTAAATTTCGACCCTCGTGTTTCCATGAAAATAATTGACTATTTTTTGTCTATATTAAAGTAAAATTAACTAATATATTTACTCTATAATATATCTTAATTGAAATGGAGTATCGTATTAAACGTTGATAATTTCAAGAGGGTCTATTATGATTAATAAGTGACGGTTGCGAGAACTTTCGTAACGTAATCTACAAATTTTATATGAGATTTCTTAGTTTACGCCCGATATGGGCGTAGCACTAAACCTTCTCACGAATATTCCTGATAAGCTTTGTGTCGGAATCTTTGTAGCGTCAACATCGATTAAAATGTTCAGCAAATAGTTGCTTAGTTACCATGCCTTTCTTTTATTACTAATTTAAATAGTAAATAAAGAATTTCAAGTCAATCTGATAGCGGGCATCAATATTAGGATTGTAGACAGGAATGAGGTTATATTTGCTAATGTAAACTATCAGGCGCTGGTAAACAAACATGTTCTTTTACTTATTTTGATGCCATTTGTATAAAAATAATATCCGAAGGCCATTATATTCTTTCACTAGAATTATTAATGCACAATACGTCTTTTGTGTCGATTTGCGCCTTTCAATAAACACAGAGAAACAATAAGAAGCACTTAGTAAAGTATTGAAACAGTATTGCGGGGTTTGGCTGCAACTCAAGAATGCTATAATATACATCGATGTTTGAAATACGACACATTTCGCGTGTTTATACTTGTTAAACATTGTTATTGATTAGAAAGATGCGCACAGAGATGGTACACGGTGTAATGTAACATGTTACAGGGAAAGTAGCGAACGAGTCGCTCGATTTAAATGTTACATCCCGTAACATTACCCCGCATAACATCGGTCTTTACGCACCTTAAGATAGTAACCAGTGATTTTACTAAATCATACGTGTTGTTTTTAATCTTCTTTCCAAACCCACAAAACTACAAAACTTAAACCTAAACTTAAAAATAAACGCAGTATTAAGTTACATTTAGGATTAAATTGTGTATAAGCAAAATATGTACTTATATTTGCTTATACCCAGGTTATTCCTAACTTTAAATTTATATCGCGTTTATTTATAAGGCTGTATGTTTTAATTTTTACTTGTCACCATTAGAATTTACGTATAAAACAATGTTTTTATGATGTTCGGCAGTGTAAACTGACTGTTACTTCATTGTACAGGGCGCGGTGTTCGACCGATGGACGGAGGAGAAGGACAACACAGAACTTGAGCAGAACTGCCTCTTCAAGGTCGACGAGTACGGCTTCTTTATCTACTGGAAGAGCGAAGGCAAGGTAAGGATAACTGATTAGGGCTGCCATATTTTAACAAAGTAGATCTGAGTCTAGAAGAGGCGGCAACCCTAGTGACGTAAACAGCTGTCACAAATACTGTTTGAAGGTTAGGCGGTCCCTGTCCAAGACTCCGGTGTTAGAAGACGGAAAGGGGCGTCACAGATCTCCGAATTATCTCACATAAGCCCTTAACAGTCCAGGCCACTGGTACAGCTAAAACTAGCTAAAGTACGAAAATGACTCGTATTGTCTAATACCAAGGTTCGCTTTGGATAGCACAACTCATAGTCATTGAACTAAATAGTGAAGTACTCTGACTTTAACTCGACAATAAAGGTCGGAAATTCCTATTGAATTTCAGACTGAACCTTTTTAACCTTTTCTGAAGAATATTAAAAGAAAATATATATTTTTTTTATCCTTTAGGACAAAGGCTTAGTAAACATAGTATATGGTACAAGGGTATTTTGGCTTCATACAAATTCCTTTCATTCCATACAAAGCAACACAAGCCGGCTTACGAACTTGTTTGCTTTCAATTATTTGCTTTACAAAGGACATTTTTGATCAGTCACATGCTTGAAAATATAACTTTGAATACCTTTAAGATATTTCGCCATCTTTCTTAAATCGTTATTCTTATAGTAATACGTGTTTATAATATCTATGATATCTGTCAATACTATTATAATAAAGCGTAAACACACACTTCTTTGTTGCCTAAGATGTCAGCAATTATAGCATATTTTTGAATAATTATTTTTTTAATAAAAAGCCCTACACTTACGTCAGGCTTTAGGCTATATATTTAACGCCATTAAACTTAGGGGGTAAATATTTTGGATAAAACCCCTAATGTGGGAAAGAGAACATAAGTTGCTGCCAACATCAAGGAAGCAAGATTGCCAAGTTGTTTCATGTCATGTCATTTTGTTAGAGTTTGTAGCCTAAACTGCTGATGAAATTTAGCATGGATATGGAGGATAGCCTGGAAGAACACATCAGCTACTTATTTAGTTATTTTTTTATTCCACGCGAACGGCATCGCGGGGAAAAGCTAGTAATAAATATGTTTGCTTTCAACTAGAATATACGAGTTCATATTCACTGCAAGTATAGCTTGCATCATACTCAATAATTTATTTCTATTCCAATATATGAGTACGTGATTGCTTTGTGGTCATTTAAACATCACTAGTTTATAGAAAATACATTCAACACTAGCTTATATCAAAGCGAGACTAAACAGTTGTGCGATAGTTTAGTTCCAGGTGTGCGCACGCTCTATAGACATTTCGCAGTGCAAATGTCAACATTTCGACAAAATTGCATCGTTAACTTGTACCGAAAGCACGTAAAGTTCTCGAATGACCGGGAACAATTCTCCTAAGCTTGGCTTAACGACGGAGCGCAGGTGCGGCCAGAATTAAAACCACTATAAAACACTTAATGACGCTTCAGTTAATTCCAACAGAGCTATCGTACGACTCTTAACGAGGGTCAATGTGCTTGGTTTTTACTATAAAAGTTACCTTACAAACAAACCCTACTTAAACAATGTTACTTATATAATAAATACGAAAAGTTTAGATGAATGTTTTTGGAGTTTGTAGCCGAAACTGCTGAACGGATTTTAATGACATTTGGCATAAATATAGAGCATAGTCTGGAAGAATACATAGGCTACTCACTTTTGTATTTTTAAATTCCATGCTAACGGAGTCGCGGGTACGCTTGTACTCATAAATTCTTGTATTTACAACAAAACACTATCGTTATTGTTCGAAGTTAACAACTTGACTTCCTTCTATGTAGTCAGATTAATTTTTGCTATGTATAGTAATTCAATAGTCGAGTACCATAAAGACAAATTGTCGAAGGCCCTAAAAGTACTTATATTTCCATTGAAGCTTTTCTTGACATTGAGGTTTTGATATAACGAGCTTATCTCACCGAACTCGTTCAGAAATCTTGCAAGAGCAGCCTTTTGGGATCCTCAAGCGCCATAAGAGGGTAGACCCTTAACAATAAGAAGGGAATTTTCAGACTCCAAATTGTGTAGTACCTTTAGAGAACTTGAAAATTGTCGACTAATGTTTATGAATAAAATTACGAAAGAAAAAACGTTGAAAGAACTTTGCTTAACGCTTATTAGTTCCATTACAAACGCAATATAAAGTCAATCTTATCTTACTTCTTACTAATATTATTGTGGAAGTATAGATGGATGGATGTTTGTCATGGTTTGTAGCCTAGACGGATCTCCATGACTTTGACATACATATAGGACAGTCCAGAATAACACATAGGCTACTTACTTTTTTAATTCCATGCAGAGTTGGGGACGAAACCTAGTGTATAACATCAAACGCTTCGTGTTCCTTTCATTGTGCGTAGTCAGTTCAATACTTGACGTGGGCTTCCATTGGAAGCGATATAAAGCCTTCACAAGTCTTGACGCTATCTCCATCTGTGAAGTTTGAAGCGGGGCTCGATTGTTGCATTTCTAGGTCACTTCTGACGTTTTCTGCAAACGGAAAATGTATACAATGTTGTGTTCACTTTGGTATCATTGTTAATTATTGAATTTTGAAGCACTAGCTGTTGCTTGCGACTTCGCCCGTGTGGAATTATATAATAATAAAAATACAACCTGCGTTACGTAGTGATAATGTAGCTTTTTAATAATGAAAGATTTTAAATTCGGCCCAGTAATTTTCGTGTTATATTAATACATAGAGATTTTTATAATATTAGTATGATAACACTTGAATAAAACAAAATTACTTACCTTAGAAAAATTTGAAGAACAATTAAATTTACATATGATTTGTAGAAGAATTGGATAAGAAAGCTCTAAGGAATCTAATACGATTAGAAATTTTAAAAAAGTGCCTCTAATAAACACAAAGTAATTTGTGTTTATGAATAGATGAAATATATTTTATATTATAACAAGAAACAAACCTTTCATTACACTATTAATAGTTCCTATATATTGTGCAATATATTGCACAATAAACATATTACTTCCGCAGCTTCATGCTCCATCTCTTATTTGGAGTGATTTAAAAACATTGCATTCCAACCCACGCTTTGAGCAAACATTTTCAATGGATTCCATTTGATGCATTCCATGTTGTAACGTTTTTATTTACCTCAAATGTTACCATATATATAAATAAATATCAATCCAATTATATTAAGCGTGTTACCAAAATCCTTTAATGTTATTTAAGCTTTTTTTTATAACATAAGGTGGCAAACGAGCAAGCGGTCACCTGAATCTGCAAAAAGGCGAAGCAACTGCTGCCCATAGACATCCGCAATTGTATATGCGTCACATACCCTTATACGACGGAGAAGGACACGCACATAAAAAGGATATTTCCCCTTCCTATGCATCTCCTCCACCGTCAAATTCACTTTCCCTTCGCATCCTCTCCCTATAAGAAAAGGGTGGTAAAGAGAAAGGGACTTAAATTAGGCCTTTTATAATATTAGCTTATAATATGGAAAATTCAGAACACAGCAGGAATATTTATTCTATTATTCAAAACGTTTTTAATAGCGAAGCATCATTCGTACAACTAAATAGTTTTTAAGGGATCCGATATATTTAAAACCATATAGAGATAAATGCTTGTGACGTAATAATTCATTATATTTACTGCAACATTTTATTCGACCGCGCAACAACGAATGAGACGCAAACACAATTTCCTGCGTAACACAGATGATTGAAACCGAACGGGAAATGAGAGAGTGAAGCCGCGCGCCGGATATTAGTGTATCTACATTGCATATCTAAAATCTATATAGAAAGTTTGACCAAGAAAATAAATCATTTACGAATTCAGTCACAGACGTCAAATGGTCTCCCTTATTGTATACTAGCTTTCGCCCACGTCTCCGTCAGCTTAGATTTGAAAAATAAAGACTATCATCTACATTTATGCCAAATTCATTAAGATCAGTTCAGCCGTTTAGGCTACAAACTCTAACAAACATCCATCCATCCATACATCTAAATTTTCGCATTTATAATATTAGTATGATTTATTGCTCTTACCGACAAATTAAGGATTCTGAGTAGCATTAAGTGTAGGTTTATTAAATTATGTTTTGTTTACAGGATGGTGACGTCATCGAACTTTGTCAAGTCAGCGACGTGAGATCTGGGGGAGTGCCTAAGGTGTGTCTATTTTATTTATTTTTACGTCTTGCAAGATAAAAGGTAAAAGGTATCTTAAAAGATAAAAGGTCGCATAATATCTGCCAGTTCCAATCTCAATTAAAATTAGAACACCCTAAAACCAATTAGTCCATATCAAAGAAAACCAATCTACAAACGCGACAGATATCGGATCGTATTGATATTTGGCGATTATTTCACGAGTGACGTCACGAGTTCAATATGGCCGCTATGACGTTGAATAATTACATTTACATTGGTACTACGCATCGGATTGAAATAGAAACGATATAGGCTGATTTGTTTATTCAGTGTGAACGATCGCCGATACATCACTTACGGCTTCTAAAGCTTTTAACATTGACTAATGGTTTTATATTTGACTAGCTGTTGCCCGCGACTTCGTCCACGCAATATTAAGATAAAAAAGTAGCCATTTGCCCGTCTATGTCAGCTACCCTCCAGTGAAATTCCGGTCGAAATCGGCGTAGCTGTTTCAGAGATTACCCGGAACAAACGGACAGACAGACAAAAATTTAAATGCGATTTTCGTTAGCAGCGACGCAAATACGTCATCTTTCTGGAAATCTGGAATTTTTCTTTTGATATTACAAACAGACACTCCAATTTTATTATATGTATAGAAGATAAAGATGTTGTAATACTCCTTGACCTCTTTGAGCTTATTTTTGCAGCCGGAATCAAAATTGAGCACAAATCTATTCAACAAGCATGGAGAGACATTGGAAGATAAGTCGTTGACGATCTGCAGTGGTACAGACTATATAAACATTAATTACCAGCATGTTGTGTGTCCTGATGCTGCTACGGCTAAGGTAACGTCTAAAAACTTCTAGAATTTTATACAAAAATAATATTTTTAATTTCAAAAAAACATTTTATAATTTCCTAATGCACGGAACACATTTAGCCAGTACTGTCGGATCAGCTGAACGCCCAGTCATAGGTTGTAAGGACTTATTGGGGCCAGTTAGTATTCTGACTGTGCCAGATGATTGACAGTCCAGTAATTGGTGCTACTGACGAACTGTACTGGCCAAGTGTAAAGAAAACAGTCAATTTCTTTTAAAAATATTTTAATGCCTGGTTCACATTTAGTCAGTCCAGTTAGACAGTAACGTAGTCAAGGGACTAATTGTATGTACTATCAGGCGTCAGTTAGTGTACATTATGCCTATTGATGCTAGTCCTTTTATTGGACGCTACTGTCCAACTGTACTGGCCAAGTGTGAACCAGCATAATTAAAACGTGAATTATAAAATGTTATTTTACTAAATAAAGGTATGGCTTGACGGCCTGAGAAAAATCACCCACAATGTGAAAGCGAACAATGTGTGCCCGATGACATGCCTCAAGAAACAGTAAGTTGCATGACTTACGGTGCATGCATATGCATAACGTCTGCATGGCTTCCATGCCGCATGCATGCATGGCTTTTTTAACATCAGCATGCTGAAAAATCGGTGTTCGGTTGCAATCTGTTTTCATCTATGTGCTTTTTTAATCTATTAATATTGCATGTTGCTTTATTTTTTTAAATTTTATAACAAGGTATGGAAGGAGGGACTTCGGGAAATAACACATAACAACAAAATCAACAACGTATGCCCAAGAACTAACCTTATGAAGCAGTACGTATTAGTGTATTACATGCTTTTATGACATCTATCATATGTATGTTATTATCATAATCTTTAGGGCCAGTCCCACCAAATTGTAAATTGTCTGATATCAATCCAAAGTCTAAAACATGTGATGGAAATATCGGATTTTGTTCCTTTATCTGACAGTGACGGAATTCAAGCTATCTGAGCTTCTATCAGCCAGTGGTGGGACAGGTCCTCTCACTTTCATTATTGAATGTCCTATCTACTTCATTTCTCATCTTTGACACGAAAACATCGTATGTTAAAAACCACTATCTGTAACTTAGAAGTTATATCGCATATTACTTAATTTGCACTATAACTTTAAAAAAATACAATCAAGTTAAGTGAGTACGGCTAGTACAAAATGCAATTGTAAAAAAGATTAACTTAAATAAAATTCTATATAATTTACTCTACGTAGTTCAACAACCCGTAATAGAATTGAAATCTTTACGATTCCCCTTTACAATCGCTTTAATCCTGTAAGGTGTATTGTTGGAACTTCAATTGGATTACCGTCTAGCTTGCTAAGACCTCATTTCCACTGGGACAAGCAGCGACTGACCGCTAGCGACTTCTATATGTAAACTTAAGCTCTGCATTTTAAACCTTTACGAATTCTGACTCTTTTAACTGTGGAGTGGAACTATTCAATTAAAACTGTATGGGCGAAATATGAACTGTCAGTTGAAATGTTCTACTTAGCGGCTATCGGTTATTATTTTGTATTGAATTACTAAAGTTGATAGAATAAGCTATGTCATACATAACACAAATCTAACCGCTATAAAAATCGCACGGACTGTAGCTAATTAGAAATAAGATATAATAAAGCAATTTAGTGCGGATAAAGTCGCACGGCTAGTCACTAAGTGGAAAAAGGGTTTAACAGTAAAATATTTAGCGACTCCGGCGTTTTATTGAATTACTCTGGTTACGGAGACGGGTCGTTTGTTACCATTTCACTCTAAGTGGATTTAAAAGAATAGCTTACTTAGGTAATTGTGTTGAAATATATTTTGCTGTTTGTTGCACTTTTTTTGTTGTTTTAATACGTTTACTGCGGCCAGTAAAATAAAAATTCTTCATCTAGTTCAGCGGCGGGCCGAAATGCGCCTCCCAGTGATATTTCCGCCAGTGCGTGGCAGGTCTTACTAGACCCGGCACTAGGACAAATGAAATTATAACTTCTTGAAACATAATGTATTCATTTTATATAATGTAATATACCTGAGATAATGAATGAATGACTGAATATTTATTATATAATCGTTTCGCATTAGCGAGAGGGACAGAGTTTTCTTCATCCGCACCAGCTTAAGTACCGCGTCAGGCCGATATCGGCCTGTTACACAGTGAGCGTGATAAATAAAAATGAAAATCATAACTGTTCAACAATAAAGGCACATAAGTGTTGCCAGTTATTTCTTAAAATAAAAAATAAAACATACGAAACAAACGAAACAAAAAATAACTAAAACCTCTATGATTTTTATTTTTAACAAATACTTGGACAATCTCTTGAAAAGTTAAAACAAACCACAACTTTAGCATAAGTTGTAGCAAGCAAAAACAAAGAAAATTATCTTTAAGATACAAAGAAAACGAAGTTATTATAAGTTTGTTACAGAAAACAACTTCGTTCAAAGCAATAAGGGCCATCATACACGGACTGATTCCAGTAGCCGGCATCTTTAACAAGCGTTCATCAACCGTTATATTTCGTCCGTGTACAGCGGGCCTTAATTGATACGTTTATTTGATCTCTATTGTTTGTTGAACAAGGCTTTTATTTAGATTAAAGCCCGCGGGTACAATGTCCCGTACAAAGGAATTCCCCAGATACCGTGTTTTGTTTGGTCTGAAACCGCTCGCAGCGGCCACTCTTTTGTCCGTTTTCATTTAATTTGTTCTACTTTATGCTTAGGGTGACAAGGGTTTTAACAAAAACGGATAGGTCAGAAATACTAACGATTTTCTGATACTTAACATGTAACTTTGAGCATTTTAGTATGGTTACTCCAGTTTGCTTTTCATCATTCTTTTTGGAATTTACGACGCAAAATATCATTTCATTTACATACTTTATAGCGACCAAAAAAATCCTTGTTCCTCAAATAGCTAAAACACAATTTCGATAACAAATACAATCGGTTATTACGACTGAGTAACCTGTCACTTTGACGTCATTATAAGCGGTTATCCCATGCTTTAGTTGGATGCGGCTTTGCTTCCTGACGGACCCGCGCGGCAAGGTTCCAGTTAAAGTGGTGGCTCGTACATTCGCTTCGGGCAAGACGGAGAAATTGGTCTACCAGTGTTTGTCGGAGCTAGGCCTGCCCTCCGGCAAGAACGAGGCTATGGAGAAGGAAGCTTTCACCTTCGATAAGTTCTACGCATTATATCATAAAATCTGTCCCAGGAATGATATCGAAGAATTGTTCAGATCTATGTAAGTGATAATATAATATTAGGACCTTTTTTATATTGTAAGGGGGCAAACAAGCAAGCGGGGATCTGAATTTGCCGAAATAACTAAGTAACCGCTACCCAAACACATCTGCAATCACAGATGCGTTGCCTAACCGAATCGACGGAGGACTAGGCGTACATAAAGAGGATATTTCCCCTTTCTATGCCTTCTAGTAAATCTACTTTTCTTCCGTCCTTTCCTCTCAAGAAAAGGGATTGAAAAAGAAAGGGACTATTGGATATTGTTTCAAAAATGATTGACTTTTAGGCTAGATATTGGTCCATGATATAGTATCTACACATACGCCCAATTCTGACGAACTGTTCAGTAAAAACTGTGCAAGTGTAAGACATTTTAAGTATCAATTGAACTGTACAGTCAAAGTTTATACGCACGACTGGTTAGTTAAAACTATCAATTTGAAGTAAC